CAACGCAGGATTTTCAGAGGTGAGATGACTGGACTGTGAGAACTGGGACCTCATCAGCCCCCAGTCTGACTGGACTGAGTGGTCACTGTAGGCAGCTGAGGTGTGGCTGGAGGAGGTGGGTCACAGGGGCATGGCCTGGAGGGGTCAGCTCCCCCCACCCGGCTTCCTGGCTGCCATGAACTGAGCAGAGGTCCTCCTCCACCACCTTCCGCCATGATGTTCTGCTTCACCCTGGTCCTGAGCAACGCGCCCCATGGATTGAACCTCTGAGACCAAAGTACGTTGCTCCTCCTCCAAGTTGTCCTTGTTGGGTATTTTGGTCCCAGCCGCGAAAAGCTGATTAACATGCTGTGATTGGGTGGTAAAGGGCCAGGCAGACAACAAAGGCAGATCCTTATCACGTTTATGATGAAATCAGAAAGACTGGATCCTGAGCAGGGGAAGAAGCTGGGCTGAGTCGATGTGTATGACTTGGGTTTTTTGGTTTGTCTGTCTGTTTTGTTTTGTTTTCAAAGAGGAAAAACACAGAGAGGGAGATGGCTCACAAATGTGGCTTTTTTGTTTTCCTCTCTAGGTTAAACGTTCTCCATCAACAACAGAGATATCTACAAATATTTAATTCAACTGATGCCTCCCGCAATGGCTGAGTACCTAAGGACCTTCCCACCACAGAAAGGCAATGTCTGGAAAGGACACATTCTTTAAGACATTGTCGGTCTTGAAAGAGTCACCTCATTGTAAAGCAGACAGTAGGAACAAGGTGGCGACCTTAAGGTGGGGACCATGGTGGAACAGCTCCATCTGGGACCTGACACCAGGTCCACAGCCAGGTGGGGAGGGCCACAGAGCCAGGCCCTCAAACACGGTGGACTCAGGCGAGTCCAAGGCAACCCCTGGCTACCAGAAGCAGCCAAATCAGCTTGTCCCTGTAGGAAAGCTTCTAAAGTTCCCAATTTCAGGACACAGGACTGATTAAGATAAAGCAATATGCTCACAACTGCAGGTCACCAAACACAGGAAAGCAACCAACAATGACAGTTACCTAAGACGAAAACTCATACTGAGTTTCCTAAGAACTGAAGGTCTTGGAAATTTATTCTGTGAAGCCAGTATCACACTCACACAAAACCAGACAAGGTCGCATCAAGGAAAGAAAAACTAGAGACCAATATCCCTGAGGGACTTGGATGCAAAAATTCTTAATAATACGTTAGCAAATTGAGTTCAACAACATATTAAAAGTATATGCCACGGCTCAGTTAGTTTTATTCCATAGACTCAAGGATGGTTTAACATACACAGATCAATAAATATAACTCATCACATTAACAGAATTCAGGACAAGGATCACTTAGTAAACTCAATAGTTGCAGAAAAGGCCTTTGACAAAATTTGAAACCCATTCATAATAAAAACACTGAAGAAACTAGGGATAAAAGGACCCTACATAACATCATAAAGACGACATAGAGAAAACCCACAGCAGACCTCCTAGTAAATGGGAGAAAACTGATAGCATTTCCTCCAAAATCAGGTCAAGACAAGGATGTCCCCGTTACCACTCCTATTTAACATAGTGCTAGAAATTCTAGCCCCAGCAGTTAGGCAAGACAAGGGAATAAAAGAGATTTTAAAAGGGAAAGTATATTTAGAAGACCCAAAGAACTACACCAAAAGACTGCTACAAATAACAAACAATGTTGGCAAAGTAGCAGGTTACAAAATCAACAGACAAAAATCAATAGCTTTCCTAAACACCAGCAATGAATCTGCTGAGAAAGAAAGAAACCAGGAAAACAATTCCATTTATAATAGTCTCAAAACAAACAAACAAACAAACAAACAAACAAAAAAACCCTAGGAGTAAATCTAACCAAGGAGGTGAAAGACCTCTACAATGAAAACTATAAAACACAGAAAAAATAAATTGAAGAAGACACAAGAAGATGGAAAGCCCTCCCGTGTTTGTGGATAGGCAGAATTAACATTATTAACACGGCCGTATCACCACAGGCAATATACAAACTCAATACAATTCCCCATCAAAATACCTATGACATTCTTCACAGAACTAGGAAAAAAATAGTCCTAAATCTCATTTGGAAGAATAAAAGACCCAAAATAGCCAAAGCCATTCTAAACCAAAAAAGCAATGCTGGAGGCATCACAATCCCTGACTTGAAATTATACTACAGAGCTACGGTAACAAAAACTACATGGAACTGGCCTAAAAACAGACAGAGAGTAATGGTGCAGAATAGAAGCTAAGAGATAAATCCAGACACCTACATTCATCTGATCCTTGACAAAGGTGGCAAAAACATACACTGGAGAACAGACAGCCTTTCCAACAAATGGCACTGGGAAAACTGGTTATCCTCATGGAGATGAATGAAACTAGACCATTATTTCTCACCCTACAGAAAAGTCAGCTCAAAATGAATCAAAGATCTAGAAATTAGATCAGAAACTATGCAACTCCTAGAATAAAATATAGGATCAACATTCCAACATATAGGCACAGGCAACAAATTTCTCAATAGGAGAACTCAAGAAATAATGCCAAGTTAATAAATGGGATGGCATCAAATTAAAACGCTTCTGTATAGCAAAGAAAACAATTAAAAATGTGAAGAGAGAATCTACAGAATGGGAGAAAATCTTTGCTAGCTACTCTTCTGACAGAAGATTAATATCTAGAATATATAAAGAAAATTTACACCAAAAAATCAAATAAATGGGCAAATTTAATAGTCACCTATCAAAATAGGAAATACAAATGGCCAACAAATATATGAAAAAGTGTTCAACATCATTAGCAATTAGGAAGAAAAAAACCAAAAACTGCACTGAGATTTCATCTCATACCAATCAAAAAAGCAGTCATCAAAACTATAAATAATAAGAAATATTGGAGAGTATATAAAGAAGTTGGTGATACTATAAATTAGGACAACCACTATGGAAATTGGTATGGAGGTTACTCAAAAGTCTAGGCATGGATCTACCATATGAGCCAGCTAGACCCCTCCTCAGTATTTATCCTGAAGAATTAAAGTCAGCATACTATAATGAGACATGAATAGCCATGTTCAAAGCAGCACAATTCAAATAGCCAAACCATGGATCCAACTTAGGTGCCCATCAGTGGTTGAGTGGTATGCACAATGGAGTTTTATTCAGCCATAAAGAAAAACAAAAGTATGTCATTTGCAGGAACATGGGTAGGACTAGAGACTATTATAAGTCAAACTCAGAAGGTTAAGGGTCATGTTTTCTCTCATATGCAGAAGCTAGAGAAAAAAAAAAGAAAGATGGGGAGTAGGCCTCATGAAAATAAAAGAGGAAAGAGAGTAAGGGGCAGGAGGTGGTGAGGGAGGTGAAATACTGGGAGGTGATATTGGCCAAAGTATATTGTTATATTGTAATATTGTGTTGTGTGTACATGAACAGATAAGTAAGAACAAATCCCATCAGTATGTACAACTATAATGCACTAATTAAAAAATGGGGAGGAGAAGACCCAACCCAGAACTCCAGATATTGGAATCATCAAACACAGAATATAGAATAACTATGTGTGTAACACTCAAGAAATAAAAGGTATAATCACAAAGACTAGTGAAAGAATGTTAGGAATGAATAGATAAGTTAGAAAAAAAATCTGTGGCACTTGTATAAATAGAATATAAGATACTTAAAAATTTCAATAACAGGATAAACATTAAATTAGACACAGTTAAAGAGAGAATTAATGATTAGAAGATACACATGAACGCTTCTCATACAACTATACTAGAGGTAATTACAGTCAAGTTTGAGAATTAAAATGCTGATCAAAGAAATCATGAATTGTCTTAGTCCATTTACACATAACAAAAAGGAGTATATTCATCTTTTTCCCATAGGAAAAAATCTTTTGATGAGTCATCCCTGAGACAGTAATTGAAAGACCCTTTCAATATGGGTTAAGACTTGGATTCCTGCGTACTAGTGGAGCCTGGCTTACTTCTCTCAAGAGGAAAACTGCAGTGCTAGAGAGGGAAAGAGGGGGTACAGCTGATGTTTCCTGTTTATTTTTTTGCACTATTTGAATTATTTACTAATAATTTATTTTACTACTCATGCAAAGGAATTTTCCAAATTTTTAGAAGATCAAAAAAGGGCACAAGAGCTCTCAACAGATAAAGATATTTCAATAACAAAACCCTAATTATTGAACGACCCTGCAGCCTGGACAGCTCTCCTCAGAAACTTCCCTGAATACTGCAAGTACAGCACTAGGGGAAAAGGTTGTCATTGCTATATATTTATGTGAGGAATGAATCTTGGGCAACTAAGGTCATGGTGACAAAGACAAAAACCTGGCACTGAACTCGAGATGTCAGCTGACTTTTCTTTTCAGATGAACTTTCAAAAATCAATAGGCAATGTCATGTTCTGGAGTAGAATGTGATATCAGCATCACTTTCAAAGTCAAACAGTTTTGTGCTTGCTTCTGACCTCTTGGCTGAGCCCTCAGTGTCCTGGATCAAGGTCAACCCCTTTTCTGTAGGATCCCCCATATCCGTAGGGCATTGGTTCCAGGACTCCCGTGGACACCCATATCCACAGATGCCAAGTCCCTTACGGAAAATGGTGCGACGTTGTTATAAAACCTGTGCCCATCCTTCTGTACTTTAAAATGTCTCTAGGTCACTAATAATGCCTAAGACAATGCAGACTCAATGTGAATACGTATTAAACTGAATTGCCTAGAAAATAATGACAAAAATTAAAAGTTGGTCAGGCTCAGTATAGACTCAATTCTTTCCGAGTATTTTCTATGCACTTTTCATTGAATCTGCAAATGCAAAGCCTGTGGAAATGGGGAGCAGAATGGACTTTCTGGAGAAACATAGATGAACCTGGACAAAGGGACTTGGACAGATCAGGAGAGACGATATTCGACTTGACAAGAGACCACTGACCAATACTTCTTCTTATCTATGGTTTCTTACCCCAAAAAACAGGAAAGAAGAAACTGCAGGACAAACAGGACATTCTTCCACTGGTTGAACTCAGTAGCCTATTATTAAAAAGAAAAGAAACGAGTGATTAGATTAATGACACTGCAGTTCAAATCTGTGAGTCTGGGTACAAAAACCATCTTTCCAAAAACAAAATCCAATTTTAAAAGTCCTAGATCACACAAGTTATGTAACAATGGACAAATTTACTTCCCTCCCCAAATCTCAGGTTCATCGTACAAAATGGGAAATGGGGGGGGGACCTTCCTGCACAGGCTGATGTGAAGAAGTGAAGTTGAACTTCGCAGGTGACAAGCTCAAAAAAATCAGTAACATTGGCAAGGAAAGTTCAAGTTCACAGACTGTTTTCAAGAATT